TGGATTCGGTTTTCCCATTGGCCATTTCCACCGTATAGGCTTCATTTAGCTTTTGGGGAAGTTGTTTTAATAAGTGCTTAAACTTATTGCTTACGAAACTTCGCTCCGCTCCGGTGTCAAATAAGATGCATGCATATGCGTGGTTTAAGAGAAACGTACCGGTAACAACAGAAGGGTCTTGAATAGCCTCACTCTGACCCATGGTCAACATCCTTCCTGTTCCTCCATTTCTTAAATTGTTGTTGTTGGGACAGTCTCGGCGGATGTGTCCAGTCTTCCCGCATCCGAAGCAGGTGTAGCTAGGCCCTGCGCTATTGCCGCTGGCATGGGCGTTGTTGTTGTTGCGAGGGTTGTTGTTGTTGATTCCCTGATTTTGGTTATGGGACGGGTAAGCCTTGCAGTACTTTGCGGTGTGACCCCTTCGGTTGCAAATGGTGCACTGAAAATCCTTGCATTCTCCATAGTGATGGAAACCGCACTTGTTGCATTTGGGAAGATTACCGGAATAAGGTTTGGAAGCATTTGAAGTGGCTGAGGTTGGAGCATGTGGTGCGGCTGGAACCGATGTGGTAACAGCATTAACCGCCACTGTCTGCTGCTTCTTGGAGGTGTCGGGGCCCTGGCGCCCCTTCCTCTTATTGTTCTTTCCCCTCTTGCCATCTCCTTCCTTCGTCTTCTCAGCCTCCACTGGCTTCTCTCCCTTTTTGTTGTTATGGTCGTACAACCTTTTTGCCAGTCTCTTTGCACTGTCAAATGTTTCGGGGTTTGCAGCTATCACATTCCCTTGAATTGGTGATGTGAGTCCCCAGATGAATCGCTCAATCTTCTTTCCTTCCGAGGTGATCATACCCGGGCACAGCAGAGATAGTTCGCTAAATCTCGATATGTAGGCATCGATATTCGCGTTCTGCACAGTGAGGTTCCATAGCTCTTGTTCCATCTTCTGTATTTCGCCTCGTGGGCAGTACTCTGCCATTAACATTTCTTTCATCTCCGTCCACGGCATAGAGTTGGCTACAGGGAGTGTCATGGATTCTACATGTCCGTTCCACCAGGTGAGTGCTTGATCCACAAAAGTGCAGGCTGCGAACTTCACCTTCATGTGCTCAGGGCAGTCGCATATCTCGAATACCGACTCCACCTTTTCGATCCATCGCTTCAGAGTGATCACTCCTCCAGTGCCATTAAAAGTTCGTGGTTTGGCGTTTGTGAAGTCCTTGTAGGTACATGTCTTGGTGGGTCCTTGATTCATTCCATTGTTTGAACTTCCGGCTCCTTGCCCATTGACTCCTCCATTGTTCCCTTGTTGAATTTGCGCAATCGCTGCAGTGACTGCTGCAGATACAGCTGCCTGGAAGGCGGCTGAGTCAACTTCAGGTGGGGTTGGTCCTGGGTTTCCGCGAGTAGGTCGGATAGGCATCTTTTTGTGACAAAACGGAAAGATGTTGAGGGTATGTGGTTTCGGTGAGGTCGTGATCCTACTGACTAGGTGCATGGTACGAACTTAAACACTACTACCATTGACCAATCAATAATAATATCTCAACACATAGCAATTTGCAATATCGTAATAAAACACGTAAAAATTTATTAATATTATCCGCATTTGATACATGAAAATTTGCTCGTAGGAGCATACATGAGTGATACTAGTTCGACAGCATAACGACTCTATGAGTAGTGTAGTCACTTAAACATAGAGTCGGGGTACATAGCATATTTCCTAACGACCTACTAAGATAAGTCTATCCCTAACCGCGATGAGTTGCGCCGGAGGTGGTGCGAGGATGTGGATGCTCCCTGCAGACGAGCCACCAAGCGTTCTGCGTCCCGAAGTCGAGACTCCCACCGAACCTGCCTCATGTGAAACTCTCGAAGGACGTCACGCGTCTCCTGCTCCGCACGCTCGACCCTAGTCCTCAACTGGCGCACCTGATCCGCAGTGTCCTGGGCAAGGTCGCCCGTATTCCGTAACCGTTTCACCATGACTGGAAGGGCTCGATCAGCCGGTCCTCCGTCTCTCAGGTCAAAGAACTCGCGTGACATGCCATACGGGGGTCGCTGTCCCTGCTGTCTGCTCCATCTCCAAAGATCAATACCCCAGGGAGGTGTAGGACCAGTGGGGCCTACGCGATAGGCAGGCACCCTGATCGGGTAAGGGGGTTGATGACTTCGGACTCCGCATCCGAATCACCCCCTTCTCCATCATCAGCATCCTCCTCGAGGCTTCCTTCATCTTCCTCTGATTCGGCAGGCTCGCCCTCAACTTCGGCCTCCGGTTCCCCGTCAGATTCCTCTTCGGGGTCTTCCTCAGGCTCTTCCTCGGGCTCTTCCTCTAACCATCCGTTGTTCCCCTGGTTAGGGAAGTAGGGGTCTCCAGGGTGATGAAAACCAGCCATGCGGTCTGCGAGAGTGTGTAATTATGCTAACGTTATTCCTAGGATGCTACAATTATCGCATAGATCAAGTAGGCGTTCTCTTTTCGGTGGTAGGGGTATAGTTTTAGATTCCCTAGAAATCCCGATCTCATCAGGACGTGTGTTAGTTTTACTTTGGAGAGAATGTAGTTGATCAGGCTGCATTCACTCCTTGGTATCACTAAGAACAGTTCCCGAATTAACCGAGACACTAGTATTATTTTTGTTTGGTTCGGCGTTATGTTCCTATTCCTAGTGCAAGCAAGGGTGTTTTATTTACTTGTTTTGTTCAGAGTTATGTTAGTCCCTCTTTTTGGTTTATAGTTGCATATCCATGTGTGGCTAGATATGCTAGTTCACTATAAACAAAGCTCTGATACCAACCTGTCACACCCCCGAACCAGACGGCGGAAACGTCCGAGGGCTATCGTGACTCATTGAATACCATCACAATGCATATACATGAAACATAACATTATACATCACCAACATTTGGAATGATACAACTGGTAACGTTACATTCATTACATTGTTCAACATTACATTCTAAAAAAAAATAACTGTTTGATACTACTTAAACCACAGCAAAACGTCATAGAGTACAAATCATCCTTCACCTTATCTGTTACCTGAGAATACAAGTATTTTGAAAACGTCAACATATGAAATGTTGGTGAGTTCATAAGTAGTGTTTGAAATCCAATGTATTGTTTGAAAACCATCAGAAAATCCGATATTTTCTAAAAATAGAATAGTGAAAAATATGTGATGATCCATGAGTATGCTTGTTTGAATTCTATAGATGTAAGCGTAAGAGTTGTGAAATTCGACCGGTAATTCATAATTGTAATTGTTGAAAACCCTAGGAAAACCCGACGTTTTCCTATCACTTTGCTTTACTTAGTTTGTGTACCGTTGTTTCGTTGCGTTAGAGGAAACCGTTGAGCTCCGGAGGCATTGAGAATACAGTGGGTGGTGAAGTGTTGTGACGTGCGTTAATGAAAACGTCCAATCGACAACCTTACAAGCGATCCCTTAGGCGTCACTCGTAATTCTTCACACCACTCAATCCTCCCGGACTTGTGTAGTCCCACGACCGGAGGGAAGAAGAGAAGGTGCGAAACCCTCGGTATTTCCCCGCGTCGTTCAAGACCATTGCAATTGCGAAGGGCCCGAAGCCCAACCCGCAATCGTGAGTTACAGACTTTACTAGCAGCACTGAAGGACCCTTGGGGACCAGCAGCATGTTTGCCATTGAAAGTCCTTTTACGTTATGTCGGATCGGTAAAACCCAACACTTCGTAAGAGAGAGGTCTTCGGGCCTTAAGATCAGGTCATTGGGCTAGCTAGGCTCAACAAACAAGATTTTACACTTTTGGGGCCCAAAGATGGTGCGTAGACGTCTGTGCACACTCGCATGTATAGTGACTTCCCAATCGTTATTAGTTATGAATCGTAATGTCGTAATGTCATAGTGTCGTCGTGTTAGTAGTTTCGGATTGTTATTGGTTCGAGACCGAACCAATTCGTTTGACAACGACTTTTGGTATTGTAATGTATTGTATTTCGTCGATAGGCGTGGTACCATCATTTGGTCAAATTGCATGTATTGAACTAGCCTTGAGAATTTTCTGTTTTAGTCCCTCCTTATTTGTAAAATTTACCCTTTTCACCCCTTTATTTAAAAACTTTCCGGTTTGGTCCTTAAATCAATTTTCTTGACCACATTTTCATAGAAAACAGCTTAAGTCCTTGAAATTGCAGTTTTCTCGGTTATAACCCCTCTTTTTCGCAATTTTTACATTTTTGGCCCAATTTGGAAAATTTTTGCAACTTTGGTCCTTTTTAAATTTGAAAAGCATTTTAAACCTTTGAAAAGTACATGGAACACTTATAGTCCACTGTTTTACAGAAAAATGCAGTTTTGGTCCTCCAAAAGAAAATTTCGCTATTGGGCCTCATTGGGCCGAAAATGTCATATTTAGCCCAATAAGCTTGGAATTTATGTTTTTAACCCTCAAATATATATTTTCAGAAAAT